GTCGGGGCAACAGCACTGGATGCAGCACCAGCACCACCGGACGGCACGCTGGCCAGCTTACTGAAACCTGTCAGACGCACACAAACACAGACTCTGAGACATGCTCGTGTAGATGCTCACACTCCTAAAAATCTCTCTTTTCTAATCCATGATGCTTATTTGTGACCCTGGACCACAAAATCAGTCATAAAGGTCAAATTTTTCGAAATTGAGATTTATACATCATCTGAAAGCTGAATAAATAAGCTGATCATTGATGTATGGTTTGTTAGGATAGGACAATATTTGGTCGAGATACAACTATTTGAAAATCTGGAATCTGAGGGTGCAAAAAAAAATCTAAATATTGAGAAAACCGCCTTTAAAGTTGTCCAAACGAAGTTCTTAGCAATGCATATTACTAATCAAAAATGAAGTTTTAATATATTTACAGTAGGACATTTACAAAATGATCTTTACTTAATATCCTAATGATTTTGGGCATAAAAGAAAAATCTATAATTTTGACCCATACAATGTATTTTTGGCTATTGTTACAAATATACCTCAGCGACTTAAGACTGGTTTTGTGGTCCAGGGTCACATTTATAACTTTAAACTGTCTTCTGGTCTCAACATTTCATGTGGACTCGTTACATGTCTTATATGTAAGAATAATGTTAGACTGATATACCAGTTAATGGTTGTCTTTTAATATTGTGTATCGACAGGACAATGTCTGCTTTTGAATCCCTCATTATGTTTTAAGAATTCATATCCACTTGCTATTAAATAATTACTAGTTTATTTTACATTGTTTCTAAATCCAAATGCAGTTTTATTTTGTTTTCTGTTGAGCATTGAATAAGCCGCTCAAAATAACATGCATGTGGAGTTGGAACGAGTAAATAATGACTGATAAACTGTCTATTTATGAGTACAGTACATGCTAGCTTCTGAAAAGCACAAACCCTAATTAACAGATGATGACTGTTTGGGCTTTGCGATTGAACTGTCTTCCTTTTCTCCATCCAGGCTTATGCAATGATGCTCTCTCTGTCTGAGAACACCAATCTGCATTCATCCTCCCAGAACTCCTTGGATGCCTGGCTCAACATAGGAGGAGGGCCGTCGGAGACGAGCTCCTTTCACCCCCTCAACAACATCTGAGAACACCAACAAGACAAACGAGAGATGGAGGGAGAAAGGAGGAGAGGGCAAGAGACCAACATGAAGATGCGTCAAAAAGAGCTCGTGAAGACCAGCAATGCCACAGTAGATGAACCACCACTATGAGAACGCGAGGAGGAGAACGTACTGTTGAGTGAAACAGACACAGGAACCAATCACAGACGGGAGAGTTTTATTACACAGCATAAAAACACGAGTGAACTCACCGAATCCCAGCCCTACAGCATCTTTCCTTTCTGCAACTAGCCACTATAGTGATGTTCTCTGCTGATTCAAGAGGGAGCGATGCATTCGAATGACTCTGAAATCACCTCTCCACCTCATTTTCAATGATATGCATTTCATAGAGACTGCTCTCAAGGGGTTTTTAACATGTTCTCGGAGAAGCCCAGGAAGGCTTGAGTGGACAGAGTAGTTGAGTGTTTCTTCAACTGGAGATTTGAACCGTTTCTACTCAGCATTCCATTCGCACGCTGATCTTCTACAGCACTGTACCAAGGTGTCCTTTCTATTAACTCACAGCCTGAGTCTTACAGTAGATCATTATAGTAGACATCAACGTTGATTTCCAATGGCAGTAGAAGCAATTAAGTCTAGCCCACAACTAGCATGCTGACACTGAGTCAGAGCACAAATCTTAAGGTAAAGAAAGCAGACAAGTTAACTTTCCATTACACCCACTCTGCGCAGTGACTAATGATGAGAGAAGAATGGTGTTAAATCAGGGTTAACATCACAGCCACAACTCTAACAAATCACTAAACCCTCCTCAGTCAACACGTTTACTCATTTCCGCCTTTGAAAATGAATCTGAAAATGTGCAAAGCATGATTTATGCGTCACATTTGCAGTTGTGTCACCTAGCCGACAATGAGCAAAAGAGCTGACAGGAGTGTGTTGAAGTGCTTTTTGCATGTCAAATTTCCTGGAATTCATTAATATCCAAGCAGTTTGTAAGCCACTGTCTCAAAAAGTAAATGCTGGGAGATTTGTGTTTGGCTGTGTGATTTTGTCTCGTCCCCAGCCGGATCTTCATACGATAAATCACTCAGCGCGGTTGTTCATGTGTATAGCATCACGGTCATTGTAATTATTGTTGTTATGCTAAGTGTTTTAGCTGTATACAACCTTTATTCCCAACTGAAAGTTTGTTTTTAAGAGTTAAATTATTCTCCAGTGGGGCAATTGGAAATCTTTTCTTTTTCTTGCATTCAGTAACATTATGATGTTTTTTCTATGTGATTTGTTCTTCAGTAAACAGTATTGTTTCTTTTTGAGCACATCTGTGCTTAAATGTTAATATAATTCTTTAGTGAAGGACCAAATTTGTACAATATTGTTGTATGATGGACAGACTGAGTTAACCGTTGGTAGCAGAGAGTGTTGTGTGCCAAAACCCCCTTTTCTTTGACAATCATTTCTTTCCCAAGTGGT